AATTGGGGTTTTTCCCACATGTGTGAGGACTTGGGCCTCGATGTACTTTCCCTACCCCACTCCCCCAAAGGACCCCTCAGGGCAGGTTCTCTCTAAAGCCCTGGGAGAATGCAGTGCTGCCCAAGAGAACTGAAGGAGCCTCTGTCAAAGTTGCCCACAGGGCCCATCTTCCCCCACATAATCACGCTGCTTAGTTGCCTGCACACTCTGGTTTTATAAAAACCCACTGATGTTACCAGAGGGAAAGTGGGTTTTGGGTGGGTGCCTGATGGCTGGGCTCTCCCCACTCGCCAGGACAGTGTTGTAGAAGCTCAGCTGTTAGCATCCTCACCCTAAGGATGAGGTACCAAAATACTTCACAATATTTTATTAGTTAACCCATCAACACCCCCAGGGAGGAGGATAACAAGCATCACTCTCCCCATTTTACAACCTGGGGAAACTGAGGCCAGGAAGATGAAGAGGCTGGGCCAAGGTCACATAATAGGTCAGAGCAGGACCAAGGCCAGCTCTTCTGACTCATGATCCTGTGAAGATGAATGGACCGCAAAATGCAAATGAAACCAGCCAGGGCTCCCTCCTTCCTGAGAAGGGAGGGCTGTGAACACCAATGAGGTCACATTGGCTAAAGTCTGGAATTTGCCTGTGGGCCAGGCCAGGTCTATTCCTCATGTCAGATGCCCCAGGGACTCTTAGAGATGGAAGTGACTAAGAACAATTATGATATTGCACATTTCTATGGCATTTGACAGTCTGCCTGTTTTCTTCACTACAATTCTGTGAGGATGAGTGTACAAGGAATATCATTCCCATTTTCTAAATGGGGAAACTGAGACCCAGAGAGACGGAGTGATCTATCCAACTTCATTTAGCTAAGCAGTGGTACAGCTGGGCCTTGAACTATGTCTCAACACTAAGGCTTGTGGTTTTTCTCCTACCTGAGAATAGAGAATCTGTCAACCCTTCCTGCCCTGGGGTTTCTCCATCCTTCCTTCTGACAGCTATTTATCTGGTGACTGTAACCCCTAGGTGTCCTTCCCCTCTGGTCTGTGTAAATCATGTAGAATTTTCATCCTAATTAGCACCAGAGTTTATCTCCATCACCATGGAAACCAGCAGCTTTCAAATCCCTTTCTTCTCAGTAGGCAGATGTACATATTCCATTTGACAGCTCAGTTCCTCCACTACCTCGAGACCTGCCAGTTCCTGCACAACCCAGCCTGGGTCTATTAATAACTATACCTCTGTCCTTTTGGAAAGAATGCTGGCTTTAGAGTCACAATACCTCAGCTGGAGCCCAGCTCTGCAATCTACAAGCCACATAACCATGAGCAAAAGACTTCCCATCTGTAAAATGGCAATACCATTCATTGTCTCATACAGGGATATCATAAATGCAATGTAAAGAATGTTTCTGTTGGGATACAGTCCCAGAACCTCAGTATTTCCACAGGGGCTCTAAGTACTGGGACATTTCCCCATTGACTTCAGTGAAGAGATAGCTTGGGTTAGTTTGATTTGTATGCATGATACCAGGTTCAAGAGCAGTGCATGGAGATTGAAGGAGATTGGCCAAGAAAGAAACTGGGCTGACACTACACATAGCCACAATGGACCTTGGCCATTTGGTGGTGTTAGATTTGTGATAAGTAAGCATTAGCTTTTAGGACAGAGGTGTCCATGAACTTGTTTGTTTTAATATTTTGATAATCGTATTTTGACATAATTGGCTTCCTTTGTATTTCTGTGAATTTTGTTGTATGTATTTTAAAACATTACTCTGATTGTGTGCCATCTTGAGGAGGGTGGTGGTGAGGAAGGGGGAGAAAAAATTTTAACTCAAAAGCATATGGAAGTGATTGTTGACAAATCAAAATAAATTAATAAAATAAATTTTTAAAAATAAAAGTGTCAAAAGCAAGAAAATAAAGAAAAAAACATTATTCTGAGAAGGTGATTGGCGGGGCAGCAGCCTGCCAAAAGGGTCCATGACCAAAAAAAAAGTTTAAAAAAAAACCCTCTGCTTTAGGTTGAGTTGAGGGTAAGCAGTGAACCATTCATATAGTTTGGTTTCAGGGGTAGACAGCCACACAAACCAAACGAATGCACAGGGTGATTTCAGGACCCTGGACCTACCGGACATAGGAAGCAGTAATCTTGCTGACCTGTTCATTCATACAGCTGCAACCAACAGAATCACAGAAAATTCCTGGAACACTCCCTAATTCCTGTGTGCAGATCAACTCCAGATCAACTAGATTTGTTCTCCCATAATCCAGGAAACTGAAGAGAGAAGAAATAGATTTCATCTTGAAAGAAGGGTTGAAGGGACATTTACCTCGAATGTAGGATGTGATTGGGATATTATATACTATGATATGTGTGTCTAATACTTCTAGATTTTACTATGCTTTCGCTAATCTAATTAAATTGTTTAATTATGAACTTGAGGTCTGAGTAAATAAATGTTCATAGCCTGGATCAAGCAGAGGGACTTGTCTGTGGATAGGAATTGAAACAAGCCAAGAATTGACAGGTAAACCTAGATACAGAGTCTAGATTATAATCCAGTCTGACCTGCCAAGTGTCTGGAATGTGAAACAGTCTTCTGGAGACCTACACATCAAGTAGGGACTGGGCACAAGTTGTTATATGTGTTGGGTTGTCCTCGGTTGTTGCTCTGTTGCATCTGACCCTTCGTGACCCCATGGACCATTCTGTCCCTGGGGTTTTCTTGGCAAAGATACTGGAGTGGTTTGCCATTTCCTTCTCCAGTGGATTAAAGCAAACAGAGGTTAAGTGACTTACCCAGGGTCACACAGCTAGCACGTGTCTGAGGCCAGATTTGAGCTCAGGTCTTCACGACTCCAGGCCCAGCACTCTATCCATTAAGCCACTTAGCTGCCTTCTTGGGCTGTCCTGCCACAAGAGAAATTCCTTAAAACCTGTTACATTGTGAGCTCATTTCTGGGAAAAATTGTTTTCCCTTTTTGAAGAAATTTTTTTTTTTCTGTTTGAGCATCAGGACAGCCTGATATTTCCTTTTGCCTGATTTTTCTCTATGGTTTGTTTTTTTTCTCTCTAGCCTGTAATTCAACACTCAAAATTTTGCATTGTTTCCCACTGGCACCTGTGTCTAAGCAGACAAGCTATTGCTTCACAGTTTAAAAGCCCATAGTGGTAAAATGCCAAATTAATGTGCATAGTGTTACAGTGTTTTATGTGTTGTGGGTTATTAACATTATTGTATTGTTGTATGATTAAGTGCTGACCTTGTTACTTTGTTGTGTGATTAAATATTAACGTTGTCCATTGCTCTGTGTATTTTCTATGTTGTGATTATCATTTGAGGCTAAAGCAGCACCATGCTGGCGTAGCTATTGGACACTGGCGATGTCCACAGATGTGGGAAGAGATCTGAAGAGGGGGCTTTGGTGGGGAAAAATACATTGAAAGTAATGCTACAAACAATCAGGAAATGTCAGGTACTTTCTAAGTGTACAAGGGAGCAAAGAAACACTGCCTGTTAGATAAATTATCTGAATTAGTGGTACATCCTAGCATCCCCGAAAAGATAAAAGCCAGGAGGACGTCTAGAAACTAGTTAGTAAATTTCCTGCTGAGGAGAAGACATTGAGAAGGCATGACATAGTCTTAAAGAGAAAAGGTTGGACTGAGGGTAGACTGAAGCATCTGTTAGCAAGAAAGACAATGCTAAGTTTATTGTGGTTGGCTGGAAATGCAAGCCCATGATGCAATACTCTAAGCTTTTCCCATGTCCCTCTGGGAAGGAACTCTCTGAGTACTAGATAGAACATATCATGGAGGTACTTTATCAAAGAACAGATTTGGAGAAGCAGAGGAGATTATACCTCAGGGGGACCCGTGTTTGTTCTCAGCTAAGTGGCATGGGCAGGGACATCTGAGTTCAAATTCTGCTTCAGATCATTACTAGCTGTGTGACTTGGGCAAGTTTCAGCCTTAGTTTTCTTATCTGTAATATGGGAATAGTAATAGCACCTATTTCCTAGGGTTGTTGTAAGGATCAAATGGGACAATATATTTCAGGTGTTTTACAAACCTAAAGCATTATATTAATGCTAGATATTAGAATTCTGAGATTAGAATGTTGGATACTTGAAAAGACTAGAGAAGAACTTTGGCAAAGAAGACACAACATAGTGTGCCCATGGCAAGTTCATCAATATCTTCCAGCAACAAAGAGAGAAGAAGCCTTTGAATTTATGTTGTGAGTGGAATGGCTGCTCCCAAAGCCGGGAGTCAGAGGATCAGTGAGGATAGAATATGTAGACAGCTTCAGACTCTCCAAAACGGGCCTCACATTGCTGTACAAAACAAACTTGTTTTTGCACTTGGCTTAGTGGATAGATCACTGGGCCTGAGTTCAAATCTGACCTCAGATACTTACTAGCTGTGTGGCTCTGGGCAAGTCACTGAACCCTGTTTGCCTCAGTTTCCTCATCTGTAAAATAAACTGGAGAAGGAAATGGCAAATCAAGCCAATATCTTTGCTAAGAAAACCCCAAATGGGGTCATGAAGAGTCGGATACAGCTGAAACGACTGACAACAAAAGACCGGAAGAATCTAGATAGCCGGTTAGATAGGACCAGTTCCTGAGCAGTGGTCAGAGGACAGAGAGGGAGAACACAGGCCATGGAAGGCAAATCCTGGTTGGCCAGTTACAGAGGTGGAAGCTCACAGAAAATCTTCAGAAAAATGGAACAGTAGACAGACCTGCGCCTCCAGAGGAGACAAATGCAAATGGACCAGACATTGAATAAGAGAACTGAGATGCCCTGGATTATTTGCTAAGCAGCCACTGTTTTTTCAGTATATACCCAATACAACAGACACTTTTAAAGTTCCGCAGCAAAGGAAGACAGAAGAAATAACCTTCAAATGCCCAGAAGGATTCTACCAGTTTGAATAAATGCCCCCCAAGAGATTTTGGGGGATGCCTGCTGCCTTTCAAGGGATTATGGAGAAAATAGTTAGCGACATCAGCTACCTGGAAGTGTTGGTGTCCCTGAATGGTCTTATGGGCTTTGGAAAGATATTAGAAGACAATGAAAAATGGCTGATGAAAGGGTTAGTGTAGTAGGAAGATGCTCGTTGGAAGTCGTCAACTGACAACTGCCAGTTCTGAAGAGTTCCTGCCCAGGATGTGGATCACATATTGTCAAGTACGGCCCCCAAGGAGATACAAGCATATATTGGCTGGGCACATCTGAAGCATCTGCAGGAACCAGGCTCTTCTAGACTTGTGAAGAACAGGGTTTCATTGCTAAGCCTCTTAGTGATCTCACTTGGGAATACGTGGTTGAGAGCAACTGAAAACGGAGGAAACAAGAAAGGGCAGTCTGGCCTGACCCCTCTGTGGCAAACCTTTGAGAAGAAGACGGTAAAAGGGCTCGGAAAACACTTGGTCAAGTATCCCAGTTTGGCTAATACTGACCCAAGCAAGTCCTTTGTGTTAACACACTAATGCCAATATAGAATGCTTGGAAGAAGTCTTATGTTACAGGAGCAAGGGTTGTCAAAAACCTACTGCATTTTTTAGTAGAGGACCTACTGACAGTGAGACTTGTTATTTATCTGTTATCTGCTTATTATAGAGAGACAGCTTGTTGTAGTGGATAGAGAGCCAGCTCTTGAGTCAAGTAGATCTAGGTTCAAGTTTAACCTCAGAAACTTACTAGCTCGCATGTCCCTAGGCAAGTCACTTAACTTTTTTTGAGCCTCAGTTTCTATGTCTGTAAAATGAGAATCATGAGCACCACTTCTTTCATAGGATTTTTGTGAGATTCAAATGAAATAATAGGTATAAAGTAGTTTTCAAACCTTAAAGTGCTGCGTAGGTATCAGTTATTATCATTATCCCAAACACAAATAAGGGTTCTTGGCCTTAAAATGAGCTGTCACTCATAAGTTTTGAGACTGGGTGTGGAGCCCAGTTTCAAGTGCAGAGAGACAAAAATCCACTGACTTCTATTATGACCAGTGCTAAGTTTGATTCTATTTGCTGGAAAAGGTAGTGGTGTTAGCCAACTGTGATGAGGTCAGCATGTACTATATCAGCCAGTGAAGGCGTGCGGATGCAGATATCCTCTTCTATAGGTGGTCATGTGTCTGAAGCTATAGCAAAACCCATAGAAGGAGGGAAGATTATTTCTCACATTGAGAAGGCTAGACTTCTCACATGAAAGTGTGGCCAAAGGTTTGGGCCATCCAGCAGGGAGCATGACATCAATAAATATGAACGCTGCTGTACTGAACCTATGGAAGCCCCAGCTACCCTTGAATGACTGGTGGCAGGAATGGCTATGTGAGAAAGAGATCCAGGAAACTCTTGCTTGCTAAGAAGCAAAGGTGTGATCTTCAGTGACTTAAACTTCATTTCCTCAAAGATACCTTGTCGTTAAAGAGAAGTTAAAGTTAGAACAATGCATTGGTGTTCTCTGCTGGACTGGAATTAATCCTACTCTTGGAAAGCAGAAGACAACCGGTGCTGTCCAAGACATTTTGCTCTATGGCCATGAAAACGCTACACTTGGACACTTGAAACAAGAGAGAATCTTGGAGCTAATATGGAACAGGTTCTACTGGACCAAGATGACAACATACATCTTTAAGTATAAGACTTGCACTCAATATAGATGTTAATCTACCAGCGTCCCCTACCATGTGACTAAGCTGGCTTCTTTCTTTAAAAGGTTTTGAAACTATCTTCCAGACTTAATTGCCTCAGGGAACTAAAGGCTTAGGCCTTTAAGAAGGAAAGGAAGGGAATAAATATTTATTAAGCTGTTACTATGTGCCAGCCACTATACTAAGCACTTTATAAATATTTCCTCATTTGATCCCCATAACCACCCTGTGAAGTAGGGGCTATTACTATCCTCATTTTACAGTTGAGAAAACTGAGTCTGGCGGAGAACAAGTAATTTATCCAGGTCACACAACTAGTAAGTATCTTAGCCCCTGAACTTGGGTCTTCCTGACTCCAGGCCCGTTGTTCTATTCGTTGTGCTATCTAGCTGTCATTGACATCTTTTCCTGGTCACCTGAGCACAAAAATTCAAGAGGAGCTCATCCCTAATGTTTGACCAACAGACCACCCCGGGCAACACAGAGGCAGAGAAGCTGTGCTCAGTTGAACCAACATAGTGTCATCATTTAATATCCTTTCCCTGATATGACTAAGTAAATCTCCTTTTGTTCATGTAAAATCTTCTATGAGTGCTTCATTATTTTACAATATCAAACCTAAATGACCAGGGGACATATTTGAGTCTACCAGTCTTTTCTACAGAGATATATTTGAAAGGAAGTGTTACCAGCTCATGTCAATCAATCAATCACCAAGCATTTATGAAACACCCACTAGGTGCCAGGCACTGCACTTGGTCCTGGGGATCCAAAGACAAAAATCAAAACAATTGCTGCCAATCTAGCCAATTTACTGAATTTGTGAAGTGTATGAGTACCATGAATACCATGAGTACCATGAGGACCATGAGGACCATGAGCACCGTGAGCACCATAAGTACCACACCATTGGAGCTGGTGTGTCTCTGGAAAGAGAGAGGAAATGTCTCTGAGTGAGACACTACAGAGATCATTCCAACCAATGTACGCAGGCAAACCCAACCAGAAGCCAGAAAGCTTCTGCAGTGACCAATGGGTTGTGGAGAAAGTATTTCTCCCTTTAGGGTTTCCCTGTAAAAATACACTTTGACCAAACAGCCAATCAATAAACATATAGTGAGCATCTCCTATGGGCCAGGCACTGTACTAAGTGCCGTGGGTATAAAGGAAAAAAGGAAAGCAGATCCTACCATTAAGGAACAAGGGACAGACTTTGGCTGCTCAAGGAGGTGGGGATCTTGGAGGAATCCAAACATCTAAGAACACTACTTTAGCACTCTCGCTATTAAAAATGCTAGCTAATAGGAGGCCTGAGCAGGATCACATGCATATAATGCTCCCAAGAATGATGCCATAGGTTTTCCACCATATCCGCTGCTTGGGTGAGAGCCATGTTTGTCCATCAGCTTGTGCACAAAGATAAGGGAAAAAACCTAGAGATTCACAACCAAGACATCAGATCAGCTGAAGGAGGCCTGCTGGCTAGGTACAGCCTCAGCTCAGAAATGCTCTGATGGGAAAATACAAACTTATGATCCTCAAGTTTCCTGTCAAGAATTTCATTAAGGGAATAAAGGTCTGCTAAGCAGTCTATGAGTGTAAGAACACACAAGATAATGGATCAATGAAAAGTCATCCCAGTCCAGGTGTTTGAAAGACTGGGCAACTTGCCAGTCTACAAAAGAATGGTTAGCACCCTACGAAGACAATACATCACAATTACCTTTTGATATGTTTACTAGGAATGTATATGTATAGTCTATATCAGATTGCAGGCAGTCTTGGAGAGGGAAGGGAAGAAAAATTTAAAACTCAAAAGCTTATGGAAGTGATTATTGATAAATCAAAATAAATTAACAACCACCTTTTGCTCATTGGAGAATTGGTGTGACTCCTAGGTGACCAAAAGGGAAAAGACTGATGGAAAAGTCAGCCATGTGAGTTCCAAGAATTAGAACCAGCTGCAGAGAGATTATTATATTTTGGGTGACATTTTGGGAATAAGTGATTCATGTAAGGATAAAATTGTGTGCTGTTACCCACCAGAGGGTCTGGAAAGTCCAGCAGGCCTATTCTACCCTGATGCATACCTCTGCCCCAAAAGGGGAAAATGGCTAAACCCAGAAGCTACTTGCCCTTTCCCGCTTCTTACTTCACCTGCGTAAATCCCTAGAGAATAGAGTTCATCCATTATGACTGGGAATAGTGATAACCAGCCTGGGACTTCATGAGTTCAGCACCAAGACTGCAGAATAATAAGTCTGATGATAACAAGGATGTAGAACTGACAATAGGTCGTGGTAGAAGTAGCAGCGCTAGTTGGCCACCGTCCAGGTTCACTTATGATATTCGTAATGGGTGTAATAGATGATGGGATTGTCCAGGAAGTCAGATTATACCTTTCGTCAGAGTACATGTACATCAGGTCTGTATGTCACCATAGCAAACAATGTCATGCTGCACCCTTGCTTTTATTATTCTTTGCTACGTATACTAATATGCTGATGCCACAAATGCTCATGTTATCTGTGCATCAATTGTTTCTGTATGTGGTTACTGCTAAACCCTGTAATGTTTTTTCAGTCTTGACTATCCAGCCATCTCCTCCACAGTCTCTCTCACCAGCCACCTTCCTGCACAAGAGGAACTTTCACTCTGGGGCCTTTCTCCTGATTGGTGACTGACTCTACTAGACTACTATTTCAGGGGAAAAAACCCAACCATACTTCACTTCACTTCTAACTTTCTGATTATCTCTCCATAGTTTCTCCATCTGCCTTATCCCTAAGTGGATTCCCTTTCCTTACTACACGCATACACACATACACACACACACACACACACACACACACACACACACACACACAGTTTTGGAACTATGCTCATATCAACTGTACCATTAATCCTGGATAGGGTATATCAGTTGACTTCCCTATGGCCTCCCTCTTTCCTATAACTTTCTGGAAGTAGCCCTCCAAGCTACCACTCCACTTTGTGTGTTGCCTCCCTCATTAGAATGTAAGTTCCTTGAGGACAAAGACTGTCTTGTTTTGGGGATTTGTATGCCCAGCACTGAGTACAGTTCTTGGCATAGAATAAATGCTTAATAGGAATGACTGCTTTTTCATTTATTCATTTATGCAATGATATATGCCAGGTATTAAATGGGATTTATGTTCTTATCATCTATATATTCTTTCTGTGTGTTTCTTTTTTTGCTTCATGCAATTAATACATGGATGACATTAGCTACCTGCATGCATACTGTGTAATTGGATTCATTATGACTATAATATATGTTAATTTATAATGTTAATGATGAATGTTCAGAGATATCCCAGTATACCCATAAGATTTGCAGGATTTGCAAAGTTTTACTTAGGAAAGGATAAAAAAAGCATATCTTTTGGGATAGCGTTTGCAACAAAATCTGCTAGGAC